TATAGTTATCTAACACTTGCAGTCACAGGGGTTACCTGTTTAACTGCTACATTACACTATTTCTACCCTTGTAAAGTTCACTAGAACCCCAGTACCCATCTTTCTGGCATCTTCTCTATTATCCCTTACTAGCCACAACTCAGAACTGTTGGTCTCATTTATCCAGACTACCAATTCAGATGGCCTGATATGGTATACTTCTGTATCCTTTTCCTCTGGCGAACCTGGTGGCCTGGTTGGTTATATGCTTCTCTACACATATTTGTTATCCAGTTTTAATCTTTGGTTCCTATGAAGGTGTTTCATAGGTTTCAACCAGTCTAATGGTACCGTCAAAAGTTCATGCTACCTCTTTACTCGAGAATTTCCAAGTGGGTTTCTGTCACCTCAGTTCCTTAGTCTTCTACGCCTAGTGGACTTATCGTGGGTTTGTATCGAAGTCTTATGCAACACTGGTAATATTCCTCTATGTACATATAACATTATACTTCGCATAGATGCCTTGAGCTCCCAAAGCCAAGGGGACCCGGCCTGGTGTATCTGAGTAACAGCCACATGAGGCCAACCGATCGACAGGAGACAGTTACTGTAACACAGATATAATTTTCAAATTTCGTCGTAGGTGGGATTTGAACCTTAGACCTGCCACTTGGAGGATGACAACCCAACCACTACACTAGGATTGCTATCCTTAGAAAGAGTTTTTTAATTTTACTTTTAACTCTTTTATTATTACAAATTTTTTAAGTTTTTGTTTTTTATTTTTTAACCTATTTATTCTTATTTTTTTTATTATTTAGTTTATTATTATCTTGATCCTATTATTAATTTTTTTATTAATATATTTAGAATCATATTAATTTTTTTATTTATTCTTATCTATTATTAACAATTTTTTTTATTTATTTTTTTTTATATAATTATTATATTTGTTGATTTTAGTTGTTTGTTTATTTTTTTTGCTTTGTATTTGTTAATATTCTATTAATATTTTTTTCTTTTATTTTTAATTATTTTGTATATTATATATTACTTATTTTTTCTTCTAATATATGCTCTTATTTAATTTTTATTGTCTAAATATTATGCTTATTTGTCTTAAAATATCTTTTATTTCTTTATTTTTTAGTTTTTTTTTAATATTAATAGTGAGACCATGCTTTTATCTTTATTAAATATTTATTTAAAATTTTTATATAAAGTATAAATTTATTTTTAAAAATATTATAAAAAAAATAAAGATGAACTCTTTTCAATGATCATTTGAACCAAACTTTTCAAAAAGTTAAACTACAAAAAAACAATATAGTTAATATATTAAACTTTATAAAAACTTTTCTAGAGTATTGTATATGCATAATTGAACATTAAAATTAAATTGAAAAAAAAGTTGCAGCTTTGTAATAATGGTTTAAATACATTTTGAAATTATATTTTTTTTTTAATTGTTAAGATAAGGTCATGTCCTTAAGTTTTTATTAGTATATTGGTTATAGCTAGTACAATTTTTATCATACATTATCTATTACTATATATATATTCAAATATAGGACTCAGACATCTTTATCTGTGACCTAAACCTACCAGAGCTTTGTATTATATCCTACTTACACCTAATCTAGATTTTTGTTTCACTATTGATTATATTAGGTAACCTGCATATGTCCTCCATGTTTCACAACCTATTTTTCACAACTCCCAAATTGGTTCACCAGGTCATTTGCCCCTTTTGAGCTCCTATCTTTGGTTTGCCTGAAGGGTGCCTCTCTAGCATGTATCTCAAGCCAGATTCCTGCTACTGCTGCTATTTTTCCAATTCAGGTACTGGTAGCACGTATCTCAAGCCAGGTCTCTGCTGCTGCTGCTGGTTTGCAACCCTTCTTGGTCTTAGCATTATTCAAATAGATTGTGCATTTAATTTGCCCCTTAAATACTCCCTTTTATGATATAGTAGAACTATGTTTTGGAAATGGTACTTCCATTTTCTTCCAGCCATTGACCATTATTTCCTTTCTACTTAAACACATAAGGCTTATCTTGTGTTTGCACTGCCCAAAACCAGTTTGCATCCCTCTATGTACACTGACCTACACAGATATCTGTATAAATCTGCATTCCCACAGATGTCTTGTGCTTGTTCGCAAAAATCACTTCTAATTTAGATATCTCTACTTTGATTGGTACAGCATTTATGTTGGTGTTTTCTACTTGTTTCATCATAGGCTTCCGTATAGGTGTGACCAGAGCTTCGGTTTGGTACCTTTAGGCATATAGGACAGGCTACAACTTCTCTATACATATAACTATAGTAATACTTCTCTAAGTGCATACTCTTGGGACTGGGTGTAAGTGTGCACTTAGAGAGTGTGTGCATTTAGGAGGGTATCTGATTAGCCAATCAGAATTAAGAATTAAATATCCATAATAAAAAATATATATATTTTGGTACTACTGTATACTCAGTGTTTAAAATCTATATGCAGATCTTTATACGAGTAAAATTTTCTTTGAACTTAGGTTATGCACTAATGATAGTATATATATGTATGTACTTTCTAGGGCTTATCTAAATGCACGTACATATTACATATGTTTATATTAATTTATTACAATACATGAGCTAAATTGTGTAAATATTCTGTTCTTTCTAAGTTAAGATAAGATACATAAAGAATGATTATTTATTTTTCTTTTTTTACTATCTTATGTATCTGAGAAGTATTTATTGTTATAATATTTTAATAATATTTGCTATTTTATTTTTAAGGATTAAATGCCTTTATTAATTCAATAAATTCAATATCGAAAATGCAGCTTTGAATTTCTAAATTTTTAATTCATTTTGCTATTGTGCTATAAAAATTTTAAATTAGTTGTTATTGTAAGATTAATGCATTGTATATAAAATTTATACAAACATATTTACTAAAACAAATGTTAAAAGCAGTTTAGGCAAAAGCCACACTTGAAACCAACCAGATTTAAGTCAAAAGCATAGCCTTAATCCATGGCTTCAAGTTAAAAGCATAGCTCTCATCCATGGCTTAAAGCTAAGCTTAAATTAAATTCGATCCAAAGCCATGGTTTAAAGTTATAATAATTTAAAATTACAATCAAGTGATGACTTGTTTTAAATAAAGTCACATTATTCAAATAATACTTCTAAAGGCACAGCCTCATTAAATGATCTGCAGTTAGCATAGCCAGAACCTTGGTTCTGGTTGTAGATTCTTAAATCTTAAAAGTAATATTTTTATATAAAGGAATAATTTTATTAATTGTAATTTTTGCAGTACAATTTTGTAAAATACTCAAAAGAACTACCCTTACAGATTCCCAAAAATACGAACTTTGTATATATGCTCATGACAATAAATTGACTCAATCCCAGTATGTTGATTGGATAGAACAACAATGAGATGCTAGAGTTGATGAAAGCACAATTTCACATATTTTTTAAAAAAAAGATAAACAAATTAGTTCTCAAATTATTAATTTAAATGCCAAACATCATAGAGTGGTAACATACCCAAAACTTGACCAAGCCCTAAAAGAATTTGTGCTAATTTATCAAAATAAAATTATTTTAAGTAATGCAATACTTGTCAAAAAAGCCAAACTACTTGCCAATGACTTGGAAATTCCTGAGGGTGCATTGAACTTTTCTTATAGTTGGCTTGATAAGTTTAAAGATCAAAACAATATTCATCAATGTAAACTTGAAGAGGAAACAAAGTCAGCAGATGAAGTAGCTATTATTAACACCTTACCTGCTCTAAAAAACAAGTATTCCAACTATCCTATTGAAAGAATCTATAACATGGATGAGACAGGGCTTTTTTTTAGGTATAAGCTTTATTAATACATTTGTGTGCTGTAAAAAAAAAAAAAAGGATACAGTGTCTAGTAATGGAAAAATGTGCATTTTCTAATAACATGCACATTCATGTGCATATTGTATAAAATGCACATAATCTAATTTTCAGAAATAAAATTTAGATAGGATAAAAATTAATGCACATTAATGCGCACGATTAAAAATCATATACATGGCATTAATTATTTATTTAAATAATCAATAATTCTATTTTTCTTTGAAAATGTATATTAATTACTAAAACTTACTTTATAGGTTAGAACCCGATCGATCATTAGCAACTCAACATCTTTCTGGGTACAAAGTAGATAGAGAATATCTTTCAATTGCATTATGCACAAATGCTGATGGCTCTCATAAAATGGTCTCTTTTGTAATTGGCAAATATGCCAAACCATGCT